GAGATTAACGGTTTAATTAAAGAATGAACCCGTTTGGGTATCACTATTGTATTGTCGATGATTGTGTAATACTAATAAAAAACTTTTTCAGATGGTAAAACTGGAGAGGTAGCCGATTTACACGGGGAGCAGGAGTTAGAAGGATACGATCTAAAGAGGACTCTGAAGGACGAGAAGGCTTCGACATCGCGTACGACTCTGTACGACTGAGGCAGGACAAGGACTTTTGGACGTATAGACAGGACTTTGAATATTGTTTTGAAATAATGGGTATTAAAATTATAATACAGACTAGAGATTAAGTTTTGGGATAAAGTTTTGAACGAATAATCTTGTGTTTATGAGTTTTCAAGAATCCGATTTAGCAGAAGTTTAAATCATGAAATGTTAAATCATCATTACTAGAGAAATTGTGTAATACTGTTGTTATGTTTTGAGTATTAAATGTTTTTAAAATGAGATGTTTTTTGACTTAAAGCCACATATAACTGAAAATAAAACGTGATCAATAAAACTTTTGATTAAAACTAAAATAAGTGATAAATTTCTACTTGAACTTGATCTGTACTAGCGAGCCTTTGTGCGCGCAAAAAGATGCGTGTCTAATTCTATCACAAACGATCACGGTTACGATTTGTAGATTTAAGCGCCTCCACATGATGCACGATGCAAACATTGCCATTTTCGGTCACACAGTAACTGTAAAACACCTATAACTCTTACAAAGTCCTGCTTGAAAGGGTCTTCAGAATGAAGAGGATTCCTATAGTTGTACGCATTTCCCTCGCTCCATCTTTCGACCGAGCTGCACGACCTTCTGGACCCAAGCTTGGTAAATGTACTCAGACCAATAAAAAACATGAATATAGGATGTTTAATGAGGCAAATAACGAAACAGTTAAAAGGTTGATACATGATGAATCATGGGAGCTTGATGGTTTATGTGCAGAAACGCGTTACGAAAAATTTTGTGAAATTTACACTGACCATTATACAACACCGCCTACCCCCTTAACACTAAACGAACTCGTTACTCGCAGAAATCATGAAAGGGTTGTTCCAAAGCCTTGGATCATACCATGGCTTGAGGACTCCTTTAATCGTAAAAATCTACTTTACTTAGATTATGTCAAAAAACCCACTATTCGGAATAAAACTAAGTATGATAAGATGAAAAAGTTCTGCGAAAAGCACAAGAATAATGCAAAACGCAGGTATTACAAAAAGTATTTCGATGAGCACAGCGATAACTCTCGCAAGCAGTGGCAGATGATCAACAGTGTTCTTAATAGAACCAAAAAGAATACTGGGATCAATAAACTCGTAGATGAAAACGGCAACGTAGTTTCTAACTCGTCAGAAATAGCAGAAAAATTCAACGATTACTTTTCCAATATTGCGAGTGATCTCAAGGCGAAATTGAGACTCATGATGACGATAGAAGCTACGAGGCCTTCGTAAACGACCCCGTCCCCCTCTCTATTTTTATTAGACCAGCTAGTAACTCGGAAATTTATGACATTGTCAAAAAGTTAAAAAACAAAAGTACCAAGGATACTAAAATCTCTGCACTCAAACTAGCAACTGAAGATGTTAAATTTGTTAATGCACTTACTGGAACAATCTCACAGTCGCTAGAAGAGGGAGTGTTTCCACAGGCACTTAAACTTGCTAGAGTTGTTCCTATACACAAAAACGGCTCAAAATCAACCGTCTCTAATTATCGTCCAATCTCATTACTGGTAGCATTTTCCAAAATTTACGAAAAAGTTATGCACGCTAGACTTGTAGAATTCTTGAATCAAAATTCAAGTTTATACGAACGACAGTATGGATTTAAGGCCGGTAGATCTTGTGAACATGCACTTTTGGATGCTCAATACACCCTTAATCCTTATTAACTCAATGCATAAAAAGCAAATTTCTCTTCTCCTCTTCATCGACTTTTCTAAGGCCTTCGATATGGTAGATCACGATATACTTCTAAACAAGCTTAATCATTACGGCATAACTCAACATATGTACCCAAATGATCAGATAAGTCAAGTGCCAATACGCTAGAGCTTATAATTTTTTCAACTTTGTTGGTATAAACATGATCAATCAGGGTGGCACTGTGGTCAGTTATGCGGGTAGGTCGGGATATAGGAAGCGGCAATTTGTCAATCAGATTTTGGGATTTTTCGTCACATTCGTGCTTTATTGAATCAATGTTAAAGTCACCCGCTAGAACAATCTGCTTTCTCCCGTGAGATCCTAATTTTGATAGGATTTCGTCGAAAATTTCGATAAACCATTTAAAGTCATTTGAATATATTGAAATGCTTTACGTTGAAGACACTAAGTCTTTCACATCATTGTTTAAGAATAATTAACGAACAGGCTGCTTAAAAGTATAAATTATAAGCACTAAATAATACCATATCACAACATCATGTTATTATTTTATATGTTATTATTTTAATTTTATAACATATCTCCCATGTTTATACTTATCTAACAGTTTTTTATATCGTAACTCAATCTGGTTTAACAGACTGAAATCATAAACCGTCAAGTTTAAAGTTGATAGATTTGCTTGAAGAGTTGAAGATACAAGTAAATTATTATCATTCTCAGTCATATCCACCACATACGCCGTCCCGGCTACATTTTCATTTTTCACAACATTTTCATTAACCATTTCATAAATCAGATAATGGGTTTGGCAAAGTTAGAAAATCACAAACTAGCATTAAAACTGGGCCATTTGCACCACCACCAACCTAATCGTCATCGTTTTACCCTTATCCAATCAATAAATATGATAATCTGTCATTATCAAGCAGAAACTGCCTAATACTAAACGACCCCACAAAATGGGGGTTAACCACACGGTGCTAATTATCAGTTTCAAGCGGAAATCACAGGTACGGGTAACTCCGTAACGACTTAATCGGGCTGTACTTTGAATAGTTGGCAGACGCCTTGCTCTCTACTTTCTAAACATTTCACATTTCACTTTCTGAACATTTCATATTTTAGTGTCCACACATTTCAGTGCGTTGCTCCAAGAAATATTATTTCCTCGCTTTACTGGTGGGAGGAGGGCTTGATGCTGGGTGGGGTCAGATACTATTTCTGATTCATTCCAGTTTAGTGTATGCAGTGAGATGCGGTCATTTTTTTATCCTCCAAGCTTCTAAGATCTGTATTAATTATGCTGTCTGGAGGACAGGTAATATGGTTCTTTTGTGATAGTGTACTTACACTAGCTAGCGCAAACTATAAATTTGCGATAACTAGCGCAAGCTAGCGCTTATAGTTAGCGCTGGATCGTGCTGTATCATATTATGTTATTATAAAATTATACAACTATACTAATAGGTTGGAAGTGAATCCTATCTATGCCATATATCTCCCTTTATCTCTTTATGTAAAATATACTAGTGTAACCCGGCCTTCGGCCGGGATTTCACTGCAGCAGTTAAAAAGGGTAGGAGTATTTACCCGCTGAGTCAAAACCCGCATTAGGTGAACAATTAATATATTCGGAGCCCTCACGTATCCAATAGTATCTGTACCATGACTAATGACTATTACACCTCATCACTCCCGTCTTAAACCACTTTAAATCGTTTTAGAAATTAACCCTTATTAACTCCGCACCACACCCGCCTTATATTTGAAAACATGCATTACATTGTCGTATGAAAGTAAACAAACAAACCGCAATGAGTGCCCCCCCCCCCCCCCCTAATAAGCTTATAGTATTACACGCATAAACATGTATGAAAGTATAAACTCTCTCTACAGTTCAAACAGACCGAAATCAGTGCCATCCACTCCTAATATCACTTGCGGGGCTAACCTAATTACCAACGCTACATAATATGCAGTAATGAAAGAGAGAGCGAAGAGGGAGAAAAAGTGAGCCATTTTATGTTGCATTAGTGGTACAAAACCATCAATTAAACCACTTACCACCGGCCGATTTAAAAAAATTTGCTTATTGGCTTCAGCAGAGTTTTGTCGGCACTATATTACCGAAAAAAACCAGTCCCGTAACTCTTACCGTTTTTAAAATATAACCGACCGGAAATTACACACGCACAGACAGACAGACAGACATACAGACGATCAGACACACACACATTCTGAGATTATAGTTTAAGATCCCGGTTCTTATTAAGAGTTTGAGTACTTTTGGGATAAGATGCACTTAAATAATCGGTACTTGTGGAGTATGACATGTTTAACTGCTTAAGTTGTATGATATCAGATATGCTGTAACTATACCATTGTGTTGATGTGCCGGTATTGTCAGTAGATTATGCATGCAAACGCATGGCAGTTGCTCCAAGGTCGTCATGCTTATATGAGCATGAATAGTAGATACCATTAATGGTAGATCAATGGCTATAGAGTATAGCTCTATCGTCATATTATATGGGAGCACACTAAGCATATATTTTATTAATGCTTATGAATTATTGGCCCCGATATAAAGTTTACCCAGATGGCCACGATTGCTTTGATGTTGTATTAGGTAAAGAATAACGCGCTTGTCTAGAATAGAATATTACTATGGCTTAAATGATTAATGAACCACCGAAACTCATTGATAATTACTGTCTTATTTTGATATAATCTTGTCTTGACAAGACTGACCCAAAATGATGCTACAGTATAATATCTATAGAAATATATTAACAAATTATTTGTTCTACCGAAGTTGGGAAGCCGATTTACTGTCTGATTGCGACTCCGCCACAGCACCTACCGGTACAGCTCATTCACAACTGCAGTATGGGATTGCGCAACTCCAAATTCGTTTGCGCTGGTGTTATCAACTAAAAAAGTGTCTTTCCGTCTTTGTAGGTTTATAACCCACCAAGACTCTCGCCGAGTTGGACTCGTCGACGGTCTTGGAACAAATATTTTACGAGTATCACCCGCTAAATCCGCCTCTCCGCCAAATTACCCATTTTATTATTTGCCACTATAATATCACGATGGTATCATTTTAAATTTCATGAAACATTCCTATATCAGCTGATTCAGCTATACAAGTATAAAGTACGCATTATAATATATTATGATACCTGTTCAATGTCTTTGGTATAATCTGAGTTCTTTCTATTTTAATCTATAATAATGATGTTTAAAATATTCCTAACTCTTGTCACGAGGTCCATAACTCTATGTCTCTATAGTTGCTAACTTAGTAACTTATATTACTTAGTTGAACATCATCAGCACCAGTTCCGTTATCTGCTGGGTATCTACCCCTGTAAAGGCTACTTTAGCACAGCTCTTGTTGTCTTCCTTTTTGGCGTCTACTACCCGTCCATTGTCCTCCACGTTTAGGTACATATCCTCAACTGAAGGATTGTAATATTATATTATTATATATTATTAATGTTAAATTAATATTGGGTTAGTTATACGGGGGGGGGGGGGGGGGGGGGGGGGGAGGGGGGGGGGGGGCTCTTAAAAGTTTCACAAGATTACTAAGAAAGGTAAACCAAGGTACCCTCAGCCTCCCCGGCCATTCTGTAAATTTCTTAAGAAGATAATACTGTTATTGCCCTGTGCTGTAAATTTCAGTTTGTTACAGTTAATTGATACTTTAATATCACTGGGATTCACTTTACGGACAGTAGATGATAAATGTCTCGCACTAACCGAAAATAAATCAGCTAATGCTGTAACATACAGCTGAAATACCCATGCTATTACCCTTATAAGTCCAGGCTATTTTTAAATTGAGTCGAGATTATTACAAGAGAACAGATGTTAGTTACTGAGCGGCGCTCAGCCTGTCATTCCGCCGAATCTCTATTCTATGTTTATTGTTTATGAACATAATAGCCTGGGATCCCCAGGTAAAGATGCTAGTTCTTTAGTTACAGAGCAGTTCAAAGTTTAAACCTGTGTAAAGTTCAGGGTTCATATAGTAAACGTAGCAGTGAACGTCGTGTATTGTCAGTCTCCTGTCTTCTGGCTTCGATTCACCGTAGAAAACTGGAGGGTAAGTTTTATTATTAATGTTGTAATAATAATAATAAACTTGATAAAAGGTTTAGTATAGCTTGACTCATCCAAGCTTTTCAATACAAATAATTAAAAGGAGCCAGGGTTTGGACTGGCTTTACCTGTTTGAAACCGTTCCATCACGTTACATAATATTCATGCCTACAAATCCCTTTTTTTATAAATAGCGTCATGGGGAACTTTATAAAGTAACTAGAAAATATAGTGGACTGCTCTTTCATGAATGTTTTTATAGGCATTTAAAACCGTTTCAATGTATCGTGAACACCCTGTATATCCCAGATATTATGGTAATACTAGAAAACCCGTGGTCACAGGGAGGAAGCTAATAGTATTTTTTGTTAGTAAGTTTAAATCGCGTCAAAATATCCTACACAATCGAAGATACAGCCGATTAAAATGTTGCTCGCACTAAACACAACATTAATATCAACAAAACCGATAAAAATGCTGTTTTAACAATCTTTGCACGTGTGTGTAACAACCCTCGTTACCATGGTTACTTTGCAACCTTTTGCTTTTTACCTTATTTGCACGTGGGCGGTCGTACATCATCATCATCAGCAGAAATAATTCTTTGAAATATAATATAGATATCAATAAGTCAACTTATATTATGCTTATTTGATTAATTAGTCCCGACGGATAATTGTTAAAGTTAATTTAATTTTATCAATCAGCAGTCTATAATTCTTCATACTAATCTTTGGGTTTTATTAATCCTCTGTTTAATATTCGATGTCGGACGAATCACTTATCAATTTAATTAGCTATCTTCGATTGCTATCCATTAATATATTTATTAATCTATTACTGAGATTGACGTACTGCTTACCTACCAAGGTATTTAAATTTAATGTCGGCGTCAACTGGTAGTTTTTAATTAATCAAAAAGTGACTTAAACAGATTTCAGATTTAATGTTCAAAGGGTTAGCAAATTGAGTAATCTTGCACGCTTGATAGGTAACGCGTTTCACGTTTGTTTTAATTTACTTTAAATCTTATGGGAATGATCAATGATGAGCAAATTAGAATTCAGCGAAATTGTATTATCAGCTACGAATAATCGCACGAAAGCGATACTTTTGCCATTGGAATTGATCGAATCATCAACGTTTAATCATTATTTGCGTAATCCTTCCCTTAAAACTTTAAAAGCTTAAAGGAGGCAAAAAGCGGATGCCACTTAAATAAAAGAGTTTCTTTGATTAATAGACTAATAGAGTTTTATTTAAATTATAAGTTGTTTTACCCATCGCTTTGAAGGTTCCCTCGATGCAATCCTTGTAGAATTCTTTCTGTTTTGTTTGTGATGCCCTGATAAAATTTGGTTACGTTTTATTAAATGTATCAATATCAATACCAATTATCGTTTTTAAAGATGAAAATGCAGGTCTAAAAATTATTTATTTCGAGCTGGATTCATCAGATTACAGTCAATATTCTCATCACACTTCACAGTTATTTAAATCAACCAGCTGAACCACCAAAAATTAGTTTTAGATTTATTTGCTGTTAAGCTGATAAGGGTGTCGATATTTTGTATTAAATACTTTTAAAATGTTACAGGTTACAGCAATGAATTTTTTTTAAAATCTTATAAACGAACTGAAGATGCACCATCTGTAAAAGATTAAGCCTCTACCTGCTGATAAGGGTATTGATATCGAATCTAATAGTATGAGTAATATCAAGAGGGAACAGTGTTATCTTAGCCCCACTTCTCAGTACACACTGCGCTGCCTTCCCGTCCATACCAAAGTTGTACTCGGAGGCCATGTTGGTTTTTGGGCAGTTCCCTGGTTCGTAAATCGCTCCTGGGCAAGATTTGTAACACGTTAGTGTTGAATTGTTACATTATTATGCTAATTTAATATATAAACATATTTATTGAGGAATTAATTTAATGCAGTTCGAGAAGTCCTATTCCTCCTCGCATCCAAGAGTGCCGTTTTTCTTGTATCCATATCGAATATGGTTTTGAAGAAATAGTCCTCCATTGTCCTCTAAATAATCATATTGTCCTCTAAATGATTACTTTGCAAATATTACTAATTCATTCAACTCATGAATCATTCTGTTGTGTGACATGGTACAACATATTATTAGCTATTTCCACCCCGTAATATACGTATGTGACCATCTACTTTAGGTTCAACAAATGCAGGATGTACTCCCTTGGCGGGCCCATGAGTACTTGTTTAATTATGCAAAACAACTTTGTAACATTAAAGTATTGAAATAAGCAGTAAGTACTTTTGTTTGCAAGGAGGAGTATGAAACTACTCCAGCCATATACATACTCTAGATTATAAACATATATTCTATACACAGATTCTTCACATAGATTTACGTGAGTTGGGCACTCTATGTTTCAGTTTGCGGGTTTGTTTAAAAAAATAAGTAACAACATCACAAACCTCCCATAATGATGATATCTTTACACTTGCTCAGAATGCCTGGTGAGATCTCCTCTATTCTGTGGAGGTTTGTGAGGGGTCCTATAGCTATGATAGTAACATTGCTTCTAGTTGTGAGTTGCTCCAGGAGGAACTGCTCTGATGAGGTGTCCGAACAGTCAAAGTGGCGGGTTGATTGCTTCTTTAGGGTTCCTGTTACGGTTTTGGTAATAATAAGTTTAAATAACACCACTATTAAGATACAACTTATAATCAGCAGTGTTTAATCTAGTCATAGTGGTAACAATAATATAACCATTTAAAATTAAAAGAAACACTTGGTGAGCAATTGCTCGTGTAACTCATGGGTTAAAACGGAAACAAGCGGTATTAATTTTGACTTTGTTATTCTCCCTTACTGTTGGACTGTTGGAGACGAGTTATTGATTATAGCACGATCCCTTGATATCACGTTCTGTAGCCAACATTGCACGTACTAATTAGAAATATTCGAGATAAAACTATTCCAAAATTAGGTGGCACAGTCGAGTGTTCATGATGGCCAGCAGGCATTATATTTACTTGTATGTGGCTTTAATCAGTAAATATGAGCTATTTATTTGCGCTAAACTTAATCTTTCAGTTCCCTGACTGTTGGAGTCGAGTTATTGTTAATTGGATGATCCCTTGATACCACGTTCTAATTTCTATAGCCAACATGCACATGCTAATTAAAAATATTCGATATAAAACTATTCCTAAATTAGGTGGCACAGTTGAGTGGCACAGTTGAGCTAGCAGGCATTATATTTATTTGTATCTTTGTATGTGACTCTGGAAACGTATAATTGACTTGATTTCTTTATTCTATAGATCTGATTGGTAACAGCTATAAGATGTAATGATTCCTCTCAGCAGGTATATGATGGACATGCCCCAATCAGTCAATCACTATTTACAAAGCTTTAAACAGTAAATATGGGCTATTTCTTTGCGCTAAACCTAATCTTTAAGTTCTCTGCACAAAAAAGGCTCATACAATTTAACAAATTAAGACATTATGCAAACCGTTTGCCAGTATCTCGGATAAACCATTGATTCAATTGACGAGTCCATGATGATATGATTTGATTCATCTTAATGGACAAACCAAAGCCATACGTCAAAGTATCGAGTTAAGGGTGTCTGGAACATGAGGGACCGGAGCAATAAAAGAACAGTTTAAGTGATCTCTATTGTCCACTAGGTTGTGGACCCTATAGAGCACCTACGTTGCTCTATATTACTCTAAATTGCAATATAAATATTATATAATATGTTAGAGCTATGTATGTTAGAACTTTGAAAATATTTCCCTCTTAAAACCCTAACCTACCATCGATATCGTAATTTTAGGTATAAGCTGTATATTGATCATGGAAGTTTTGCTTTTGTCGAAAAGCAGTGCATGAATATATCAATGTGAGATGTAATGGGTTTCAACAGCAACTTTAATCAATTAATCTTATCAATATCTTACCGCAATGGCCATCAGTCCCGTAGAAGAAGGAGGCGTGAGTGTCGTTAAACTCAGAACTAGCAGATCGGAACACGGGCACGTCAGTCACCTTCAGTACCTCCTTCACGAGCATGTTGGTACTTTGGTAGGCACTTTCGGTCGGTATGTTTCCACACACTGTCGTTATTCCTGAACAGGGGGGCTCTCACGTGAAGTTTCTGTAAGTTTATAAAGTTATAAAGATATAGGATATAGGGGGGGGGGGGGCTCTCACGTGAAGTTTCTGTAAGTTTATAAAGTTACAAAGATATAGGATATAGGGGGGGGGGCTCTCACGTGAAGTTTCTGTAAGTTTATAAAGTTATAAAGATATAGGATATAGGGGGGGGGGGGGCTCTCACGTGAAGTTTCTGTAAGTTTATAAAGTTATAAAGATATAGGATATAGGGGGGGGGGGCTCTCACGTGAAGTTTCTGTAAGTTTATAAAGTTATAAAGATATAGGATATAGGGGGGGGGGGGGCTCTCACGTGAAGTTTCTGTAAGTTTATAAAGTTATAAAGATATAGGATATGGGGGGGGGGGGGGGCTCTCACGTGAAGTTTCTGTTAGTTTATAAAGTTATAAAGATATAGGATATAGGGGGGGGGGGCTCTCACGTGAAGTTTCTGTTAGTTTATAAAGTTATAAAGATATAGGATATAGGGGGGGGGGGGGGGCTCTCACGTGAAGTTTCTGTAAGTTTATAAAGTTATAAAGAAATATAGGGGGGGGGGGGCTCTCACGTGAAGTTTCTGTAAGTTTATAAAGTTATGAAGATATAGGATATAGGGGGGGGGGGCTCTCACGTGAAGTTTCTGTAAGTTTATAAAGTTATAAAGATATAGGATATAGGGGGGGGGGGGCTCTCACGTGAAGTTTCTGTAAGTTTATAAAGTTATAAAGATATAGGATATAGGGGGGGGGGGCTCTCACGTGAAGTTTCTGTAAGTTTATAAAGTTATAAAGATATAGGATATAGGGGGGGGGGGGCTCTCACGTGAAGTTTCTGTAAGTTTATAAAGTTATAAAGATATAGGATATAGGGGGGGGGGGGGGGGCTCTCACGTGAAGTTTCTGTAAGTTTATAAAGTTATAAAGATATAGGATATAGGGGGGGGGGGGGCTCTCACGTGAAGTTTCTGAAAGTTTATAAAGTTATAAAGATATAGGATATAGGGGGGGGGGGCTCTCACGTGAAGTTTCTGTAAGTTTATAAAGTTATAAAGATATAGGATATGAAGATGGAAGGGTTTGGTATAGGTTTGACTACTATCTTACTATGTAGCTAGGGTGATCAGTATAAAGAAATAAAAAATTGGCCAAGGAATAAATAATTTAGGTCCCGAAAAATGGACCCAGGTGATGTCAAAATCACTATATGCGGTAAATCAGGCCGCGGTAAATCGGGGTTTACTGTAGTGGGTAACACTACTATAATACTATAATACTAGTGAACACGCTTGTAGAGATACTCTCACTATATTTCCTGAAAAGCCGCATAAGTCACTTTTTAAGTTGATAATTAGTTGGTTTTTTCTGCGCTTCATTTCATTGTCGAACTAGAGTACGTAAATCTATTTGTTTCGTTCTCGATAGAATTAATGCTATCTTAGCAAAGTGAGAACTACGATACATGGGACTTAATTCTGGGATTTAATAGCACGTAGTGAGAGTTAAATTTAAATTTTATACTTTTGTATAGTAGCTGAAACGTTTCTTTATTTATTTCGGCTTCATTTGCCTGATGGCTACTTAATTTAGACTAACATATGGCGTCATTTGTCGAGTAAACTTCCACGATGTATTTCAGAATTTCATCTCCAATAAAAGGGACAAAGAGAGTACTTATGATTTAGTTCCACCCTAGTACCATGCATTAGTAGTGCTTGAAAACTGAATTTAGATTTTCTGCTCCTAGATAGAGCTGAACCGTCTCTCTATCTCATTCCGTTTACTTGCCTAATGGCTATTTAACCTAACCTAACCATGGCGTCATTTGTCTAGCAAACTTCTAAAAGTCCATAATGACAATGTAAACACTTGCTGCTAGACGCCGTAACTTGTTCTGAACCCCCAGGTGAGAGTCGTAATTTATTATGGGCGTGTCTCAAAATTTACGAGATTAATTTAAAGTAAGTTTAGCTCAATTTATTATATTTGCATGTCTATTCAGCGCGCTACTTTCTTCAGCCCAATCCATGTTTTGTCGGTATCTGGTAGTTATGCTAGCTAATATTTATAGTTGTTCTTGTCTCGTCAAGCCGAAGAAATATATTTTACATTTTAAAGATTTCACGACAGTTTTGTTAATCGATTGTTTCATTAAACTCGTATTATTGCCCTTTATACTTCAGGACTAGGAACCGACCGGAATGGGTTTTTGGCTGCCGGACCGGACTTTGCCGGATATCAATCTATTATCCGGTTAGCCGGATTTTGCCGGATCGGAACCGGTTGTTAGGAAGGGCAAATATAAGCTTGCCGGAATGTGCCGGATCTTGCCGGAAAATTTAAATTAATCCTTATTATTGGGCTTTTGTCATTATCAATTATGATATTAATCCTTATGAGCCATAGTTTGTAATTACACAATAAGTTCCGCATTTCTAAGAGCTATACGACCAGACCGATGATGTTTACTGTTTAGGCTTAGCTCAGTAGACATTTGTAAAATATCAAATCAACAAGCAGAACGTTGGAACAAGAGTAGACAAGTTATTATCAGAAATGATATGCAATTGGCATATCCTACCAGACCCCTTGAGCGAGATTAAGAGTAACTCTAGAGCTACTAGTACTGTTCGTAATAAGGTTCCGTTTTCCTCTATAATACATAGGTATGTTGCGTTTATTGTACTTCACAACAGTTTTGTTAATCGATTGTTTCATTAAACTCGTACTATTGCCCTTTATTCTACAGAGCTACATGACTTATTCTTACGTTTTTGCCCAAAAAATCCGGTTTGTGGGTCGGAAAACCTTTAAACCTTCTTTGTTGGCCACATTAGGGCTGGTTTAAGATAGTAACATATCCCCCGCGGTCCCGCTTTAGGGCTGGTTTAAGATAGTAACATATCCCCCGCGGTCCCGCTTTAGGGCTGGTTTAAGATAGTAACATATCCCCCCGGGTCCCGCTTTAGGGCTGGTTTAAGATATGATCATATCCCTCGCGGTCCCGCTTGCTGGCACACTCTCCGATTAAGCACCAACCCTTGAAAGTAGTTTTAAGATCACACTCAACTATAAATAGTATTCTAGGAAACATCAGCGGAAATTGAGCCCAAAGCTGAAGCTAGAGGGGGACCTGATTGCTTTTTGCTTTATTTTGTTGGCTTGTTACAGCAGGCGGTATTATAACACATATGCTGCTATCCCTAGTCATGGTTATTCAGATATTCGCAATCAAATGATGGACTTCACAGCAAACAATGGGTCCGACTCCAGGCACAGAAAACACTGAGAAGGGCACCCTCACTCAATCAGAATATTAACGTATTAGGTTTATTAACTGGAGGGTTCCTTCACGAGCAACCTACCCTCCTACTACATATTAAATGGAGGGTCATGTTGTCTTGAGGGAAATTTTGCAGAAATTTGCTGTTTCTTACTAGCCACCTTTAGTAACCTGTACTGTTTAGCATGGTGGAGCGAGGGGAGTTTCCTTATAATGGTTGCTAAGAAACTTTAGTAACCACTAACCAGGGGATACTGAGTATCGTTAGTTATCACTGGGTTACTGTGGTTACTCAGTAACCTTTATAAGTTACCCCATGTTTACTGAGGCTGGTGAGTAATTCTTTAGTAACCAAGGAATCACATTACTGAGTAACCTTAGCTATGATAAAGTTACTGAAGTTACTAAACAATTTAAGTTATGAGGAGCTTACTGAAGTTACTAAATAACTTAAGTTATGATAAGGTTACTGAAGTTACTAAATAACTTAAGTTGCGAGGAGGTTACTGGAGTTACTAACTTACTAAGCAACTTAAGTTATGATAAGGTTACTGAAGTTACTAAATAACTTGAGTTGCGAGGAGGTTACTGAAGTTACTAAGTAACTTAAGTTTAGTAACCAAGAGTTAATTAACTATTCATTACCTAGCACCTTGCATCGTTTAGCTCGGTGAAGAGAGAGAAAGTTTGCTAAACAGAAGGTGTCGTCCACCCCACAGTCAGTGTCTATTATTATGTTGTTTTCCATGTTGACTCCTTCCTGCTGGACAAAAGATATGAGTTGGTAAGTAATTCTGTGGCATTTTATATTTTTAGTTCGTTGGAAGTTTATTAAGATATTATCTTGATATGATATTTGAGCATGATGTTTTGCCCCCGATTCGTAATAGTTGATACTGTTCAAACATTTCAAAAATAAGAGACATTTCAAAAATGAGAGACAAATCACAAAACCGTCGAAAACCCACAATTTAAATTGCATGATTCGGCCGGGGATTTGATTTCATATTCGAAATCAGTCAACGACAAATAAATATGCACAATATTCTGCAGGAGGCTATAAATTGTTATTTTTTGGGGTAAAAACAGGTAATGGCGGCAATGATTTTTTTTAAACCATCGTATGCCAATGTAAACAATATTGCATTAACTAATTGAATAGTTGAATGGGTTTATGGAGTGATGAGACATATATATGTAAAGTGGGGATAATGATTCCAAACATCATTATATGATAAAAATGCTTTTTAAAATGGGGCATATGACTCACTTAAAAGTGTGAATATTTATTTTTTTTCAAAAACCACGCTTAACAAATAAATGAAATGTAGTTTAGGTAAAAAAATAAATATGAAACATTTAAATTATAACGTAACGAGATTCAAGATAAGCGTCAAAATTTTGAGTTGAGTAGCAAAAATCACGGCTTCTCAGAGCTTAAATTTGATACAGTCGAAAACACGTCTTGACAAATAGAAGAATTTTAATTGTAATTGTAGCAAAGCTAACAGAAGGGTAAACAATAAACAAAGAAATCAGAGAAGGAAGAATAAAAATGCCTCATCATGGATGATGGAAGATTGTATCGCGTACTAAAGCTCGCAATTGAATTCCACAATAATTAATTGAAGGATACATTGTTCAGGTAAACTGGTGTGTACAGTTCCACACTGGGAGATGTGCGGTAGTGTACATGTAACGCGATAGTTAGCAAGTTTATAGTTTGCGCTAGCTAGTGTTAAATGGCGCTAGTTAGCGCTGGATCGTGACATCCAGCGCTATCCAGCACTAATTCAAATTAGGTTATTGGCGCTAGATAGCGCTAGCTATCGCAGAATTAGAACCCTTCCACGAATGGAAAATTCAATGTTTAAAATTTCTTATTTTCGCTCACTGGCTACGTGTCTGCTTTCCCAATTCTCCCCGACAAATTGCAATTTTTGACGTTTGCCGCGACAAATCGCGATTTTCTCAGATCCTCGCGACAAATCGCAATTTTTTCAGTTCTCCGCGGCAAATTGTGCATTTTTCAGCCGAACATCCGGTCGGTTCCTACTCCTAGTCCGTACCTACATTCGGATGGCTGTGGTTGGTTCCATATGCTTTTACTACTTATAAAAAACGTGATAATATTTGGCCCTCAGATTTAGGATAAAGGAAAATGCGATTTTTCGCGGAGAACTGAAAAAATCGCGATTTGTCGCGGAGAATGGGGAAACTCGCAATTCCGCACATGCCACGATTCCCTTTTGTATTGGCTGAAATCTTGGTTGAACTGTATAAAACTACTTGGTTCCTGAGTAAAGTTAAATTCGAGTGCTGTAAACGAACTCTGGGAAAAGCAGCCAACACGAGGTCGAGAAGGTCATATGAGCGGAGTTAAATTTAATAAATTAATAAGACGAGACACACGAACAATGAACAAGTCTAACGGAGCTTAGCTACTTGGTATAACTATTGAGCTAACCAGGAAATATAGAACAATTCGAGAAAAAAATAATGATGAATAAATAAATAAAAGATGGAAGATTTATAGGTGCAATCCTGAATATTACTAACGGCCACTAGAACGAACGTCGAACACCGATACATCAATAAGACAACATTAAGACAACAATAAGAAAACATTAAAAACTAGAACGAACACCGATGCAAACATCGGTGTTCTAGAACGAACAACGGTGTTCGTTCTAGTTCCCTTACTAACACATTTCTATGAGTTTATACTTTCGGGACTTTTGGACTTTTGGGCAGGACGACAGTTTGTGTAGCTTCTACATGTAAGATTTTAGCCGAGGTGATGAATGGAATGGCATGATCATGTTTCAAGAGCAGTAGGAGCGCTTTGGTGAAGCCTTAAAAAAGTACTCCGTCCTAGGTTTAACTTAAACTAAGTATGTTAGTGTCCACGATTGTACAGGGTGGGCCAAACGTCAGTAGGTACCCATACGTTGGGTCTTATACAGGTCTTTATACCTCCGCTGTGTTTTATATTTGAGACGTATGGGTACTGACTTTTGGCCCACCATTGTAAGATTGTAGATTACGGTAGTTTTCCATCAGGCTGCCAGGTCTTACGAAAGCTAAAAAGTAAACAATCAGTACTATTTGCAACCAATCTTGTGACTATAAAATGATTATATAGTATCGAGGATCGGATTTTCACGTAAAAAAAATATCGAGCTAACTACGAACAGTAACACGGCAACAGTACGTGGGTCTTCAATGTTAAAATAGAATAGAAACGTTATTTTTCGAGTGACAATTCAATTTACTTTCAAGCCACCATTACATGACACCTATGAAGTGACGCCGGAAGGACTTTGCCATAAGTATAAACTAGGCTGGTACATTTTAACTTCAGCAAGTACTTCCTGGTGGTCCTGGCTCATAGCTTTTGAACTTCATACATGAAACAAACACACACTAATTACTGAAACTCAGAGAGCTGGATAATATGTTTCGCACGTATAATAGTCCGACATCATTATAGTCGGCTGCTCATTCTAACTTTCTAAAATAGTTATTTTTTGGGGCTCTTAAGGTTTCTTAAACCAAAGTTCTAGGTGTTTGGATATATCGTTCTGTGATTGTTATACGATTAGGTAACCTGGACAGTTCCACTTTAGCAGTTTGACCTAAAGGTATGTTACTACTTCATGGTAGGGATATCCATAACATCTAGATTATGCTTGTTATTTTCATATGCAATATTCATTTTAAGATAATTTTTCAGCGTTCATACTGGGAAATGAGTAAATCATAATAAGAAATGATTTACATCTACAGGAAAATACAAAAATTCTTGTTGTAAAAAAACAAAACTACATGCAAATAACTATAAACTACTTGATCGACTATGATTGAAATCGATTGCAACAAAAACAGAAGCTTGATAAAAAGTAAACAAGTCTACACTCGAAACCAGAAGACATATTTAACTGTTGTTATATTCGAACACGTACTCACTGCGTTTATATAGTTCGACACGTACAGTCAGTGGTTCGGGTTATTCATTGATGCAAACAGATGACTTTATGACTTGAATATGTGTATATGTCAAATAAAGAAGGACTGTATAAGTGATGAGCGTTATAGCTGATGTTGCGTATGAAATCTACAAGTCAGTGATGATTGTATTAAACTGGAAAATAATCCAGTGTAGACCCGCTTCTGACTCGACTAGTGTCGGCTTTTTACGGCCATCCACAAGGAAGTTTCATTTTAATAAATGTATTCAATTGTTGTTGTGAAACAACAATTAAATACATTTACAATCACAAGCGGGTAACCTCTTGATGCGTCTTTTCCAATCACCATCAAAGTTTGAAAAAGAAATGCATGATCACGGTGATCACTTATATTTAAAGATTGAATAAAATTATATTGTTATGTACCACTACCATATGATTTTTTAAAACATTTGGCTGGTGTACCAAAAGCCGGTCCCTAAACAAACAAATGGTGGAAGAAAATGAATATAATTTTTCATGTCAGATAAAAGGTATAGTATTAGAAAAGAATACCGAAAAGAATATTTCATTAATCCAAAAGATATGACTTCATGACTTAGTAAAAGATTAACAAACGATGTCATGAATTGAACAGGAATTAAACAGGAATTGAACAGATATTGAACAGGAATCAAACAGGAATCAAACACTAAACAGGAATTAAACAGGAATTAAACATGAAATGTAAGCCGTGCCATGTAAACCACACTTTTTCAGGGAATGGTTTGAATAAAAGTGAAAAATACTGAAAGCCGATCATCCCATGTTTTGACTGACTTCTAGATTTTTGGTACATTATTGTTAAAAACAAGCTGGAATATAAATTAAGGTATGTAAAAATATAAATTACTGTATGCACCCTGATAAATGCGGCCATGGTTGTATTTTCTTATTTCGACGATTTTTTATCCTATTTACATAGGATGAACAAATTACATTAAGAGCGAGTACAAATGTCCAAAGAGCTCAAGGACGGATCCCTTATACTCTTATAGTTATAGCTTTTTATTTCTCAAATGAAAAGTCACAGAGAGGTTGATTTATCATATAAAACTAGATTTGTCTAACTTAAACTGCAGTTGCCGGACATACAGAGATACAGGTTGGATAAATTAAACAGACCGAACAAATTTTCGTGAAATTTGATATAATACTTAAATGATACATTTCTTTCGGTTTTGGGGCAGATTTTAGACAAACATGTAAAATTTATCAGTTTTTTAACAAACCAATTATTATTTGTTTACAGAATTTATTCAGCGTTGCTTGAGGAGAATACTTAGGATAAGCTTGATCGGGTTAGAAACACTGAAGTGCTGGAGCGTGCAAAGATAAATCCAGTAGAGACGTACATAGGTGCAAACCGCCTGCGTTGGTTTGGCCATGTCACCAGAATGCCAGACACTAGGCTTCCTAAGTACCTGCTTAACTGGACCCCTGCCCATGGGAGAAGATCTAGGGGGCGTCCAAGAAAGGACTGGAGGAAATGATTGCTGGAAGATGCTGCAGCGTTTACAGGAAACACTGACATAGACCTAGAAGGAGCGAGCGAGATGGCTAGTGACCGCAAACTTTGGAGGGAGATGATACGTCACAAACGGGAGTTCATTGGTGCAGGCCACTCGAATGATTGAGGAGACCTAATCAAGTACAAGTGCAAGTAAAGTAAGAATTTATTCGCTCAGATTTTGGCAAAAATATTAATCTTATCAATTCTTATCTCAAATAAAAAAATCAATGTTATTGATCTCAATTTGCACTTTAATATAAT